CTCTATGAGATGGATTGATTCGGTGACTGGGGTAATCTGGATGGGTGTGTCAGAGGCAGTGCGGTTGGCGCAGGATAGAGCAGGGTTTAGGGCTGCTGTGCATAGGGTTGCTATGAGTCACAAACGACTCGACGGCACATAACAACAACAACAACAACAACAAGTTTTTGAGATCAGGGAGTGACCAACCTCATTTTTGTTGTTCATAATTGTTTTGCTTATTTGCGGTCTCTTGCCTCTCTAAATAAATTTGATAATTTCCCTTTCAATCTCTTTGAAAAATGACTTTGGTATCGGAATCGGGATTGCAGTGAATATGTAGTTTGCTTTTGATAGGATTACCATTTTCACAATCCACAAGAAAAAGACTAATAACCCAATTACAAAATGGGCAAAAGACATGGAAAGAATTTTCACAGAAGAAGATATCAAATGGCAAACATGCACATGAAGAAATGCTCCAAATCCCTGGCAATAAGATAGATGCAAATCAAAACCACAATGAGTTACCACCTCACTTTAGTAACTGTGGCATAGTTTAACGAGGCAGCAAGTAATAAATTTTGGAGGGTATGTGGCAAGAAACGAACTCTTATACATTGTTGGTGGGATTGTAAAATGATACAACCATTCTGGAAGGCAGTTTGGCACTTCCTCCAAAAGCTGAACATAGAAATTCCATATGACCCAGCTATTCCATTAGTTAGAATATACCCTGAGAAAACAAAAACTGAGGCACAAACAGAGATGTGTACAACAGTGTTCACAGCAGCATTACTCACCATCACAAGAACAAGGGTATAACCCAAATGTCCAACCACAAACAAATTGAGAAATTATGGCACCTTCACACAATGGAATACTATACAGCACACAGGAGCAATGGTTTTGTAATTTATTACCTACCTTGAGAGGAACTGGAGAGCACTATCCTGAGTGAAGTAACTTAGTCCCACAAGGATAAATATTATATAAAACCATTATTGTAGAATGAGTATGAGAATCCAAGAGGGGTGGGAGAGGTTGGAAGCTGAAGGATGAGGATGTACAGGGGGAGGAAGGATTAATCATGGGGTTGTACAATTTGATGTGTGGGGGGGGTGAGGGAAATTGAAGAATTTGTTCTTGAAAACAATGTATTTGAATTGTGTAAATAAACTAGTTGAGGAAAAAAGAGATTTGTGATTTTTATCCTCATGCTTGGGTTATCATTTCATTTTGAGTTAATTTTATACTACTTGATTATGTGTAAATCCTTGGAAACTTAAAAAAAACATATCTTAACAAAATAAAATTTCACTTTATTTTAGAAAAATATGGCTTACATGTATGTAAGCAAGTGAAAAAAGAGATAATTTTATATTTTTATGAAATTTGCTGTGTTTTAAAATATACCTCTTATTTAACCTGTTATATAAAATATCTATGAAATATTAATATATGTGATATAAAAATAAACAAAACATCATTATTGTATGAGAATGCAGATAGTAAAGCATATTTTTCTTACCTTCTTAAAAAACAAGTTGTTAGCTTAACATATTTATTATAATAAAAGGGGTAATACCACAAGTAAAATTAAAATGAAGACAGAGATAGTTCAAATATTCCATGGAATTAAAAATCATCTTTAAATTATCAAATATATTTTTAAAATTTGTAAAATAAAAATGTAAAAGCAAAAGGTTGTTTAAAAGTCAGGAAAGAATG